AAGCAACTTTCGGTTAAATCTCCTAAATCCATCGGCTTTAATGAAAAAGGCCCATTTGACCACCTTTCAACGAGGGCGCTGGAAGCATTTGTCGAGCCGCTGATCGAAGAAACTGTATAGTTTCTCAACTTCGAGGGTTGAATTATTCCGAATTTGGTGTTCTTCCTAATATCTTTTGAGAAAAAAAAAACCAGCTTGGATTATAAATTGGCCGATTTGTACATTCCTATGAGCTTATTCGTGAGGTTTATGTACTCTTCATACACATCCAGGCTTTTGCGCTTTGTCGAGTCCGCGAGATCCTTCCGATAAGCTACGCAAGACTATACGTAAACAAATAAAAGAAACCTCAATTATAGTTGCGTATAGGCTTTTCTCTCTATTCAGGCCAATTTAGAAATTGCACTCTTACAGTCTCCCATTGATTAGAAAAAAAATAGATACTTCGAGAGTCTTACTAGCCGGGAACATGTGGGCTGTAAACTAAGTCTGGCACATAGATTAACTCAAAACAAGTAACACGATCTTGTTTTGAACTTTCTCTCGTGACTTAGCTTATATCAAATGTGAACTGAACGTGGCATTATATAAACAAAAGACTCATTAATTCTTCAGAGTCAAAGATGCCCTTCTGGGTTCCCCATCGATCTGCTAGATTGTTCCACGGCTGTCTCCTTCACATCAGAAGGACTTAATGAATATCGCAACCCCAGCGTAAACACCGTCCAGATGATAACAAATAATGAGTATCCCAACCCCAACGTAAACACCGCCCAGATGATAACAAATCCTGGTTAATTTTAAATTGACACGGGAGTAGATGGTATCGAGCTTGACCTAACAGGTGGGGTGATTCCAAAAGCAACGAGAGCCGTACCCTGTGCATGGCCGTAGCACACCGGCAAGTTGCTGAACAACTTCCTGGACAGAGACATCAGCCATCTTGGTATCTCGCAACATCTTCTCTTTGCCTAATACGAACAAATGGAACAACTGGCAATTCATGCCATCACGAGATATCGATCGGGGTATAATTGCACTAGGTTCTCTCGAAGGATCGTCCGTCCGTACTCTTATGCATGATGACGGGCCTAATGAGTCTAAAGAAACAGTGCCGAGACGTGAGAGAGATCGGAACTGCGTCATTATCTTCAGGTTTGGACATTATCGACACATGAAATTTCGAAAGGACCGAGCCTACAATGAGGAGTGCGATGGGGGTTAGGTAGGGAGGGGGCTGTTCTTATCTTCCTGGAAGTGCGATGGAATTGACTTGGTGACGTGCGAGTCTTTTGGTTTTTGTCTCTCCATGGAAATAATTAAAGTCCTCACCACCCGTGCATGCATTGCATTTGCATGGCTCCACCTCCACCGTCATTCGGCCAATGTGGGGGGTGGTGGCTCCGAGCAACCAATGCCTCTGGACGTGGACTCGCGAGGAAACCGACAACTAGCTAGGGTTCCAGGTCCCATCTCGATTCAATATGCTGCTAATTATATGCGCATTTTGACTTGGCGAGTTACAAGTTATCAACATTATTCGCATTCAAACTTTAACTAATTATAAATGCGGATGATGTCATACTCGCGTCTCGCCGGCCGGAAAACTGATTGGAGGGGAGACGGAGAAGAACGTGGCATAAGTTACACAAAACCAACTATCGTGCACAGGGAAGTAATATAGACTCGACGTTGTTTCTACATACTAGGCATCGGATCTATCTCCGACCCCATACAGTTCGTGCCTAGCCTTGTGAAAACAATCTGTGAAAATAAGTTTTGTACGCAATCTCTGACTAAGACGATGCATCTTAAAGCAATGCAGGTGCAAGCGAGTCTCGATCAGGGAGCGACCGACATCGTGCTACAGTGGCTTGTGAAACTTTTGGCAAGAAAAATGTTACTGGGGGAAGTGTCGCCTTCTTGAAACTTTCTTCACGATTTCCGTATCAGGCTGAGCACCATGGTACCATACATTATTTCGTGGTTGATGGCGATGGATGTGGAAATCGCAGATGCAAGAACTGGAGTCCATGACCTTTTGTTAAGGCAGTGAAATTTCTGCGAGTCTCCCCCAGCTTTGCGAGGTAAAATTGGGTTGAAATTGACAGCACATGCTGGTGACGCGACACCTAATTTTGCTAGGAGTTTTTGCTCAACCCTCTTCGCAAATTCAGTGTCAATTTCGACGAAGCATACACGAGACACGACCCAACGTATGTTACAAGTCAATCTCGTATATGCAATACTTCAAGATTCGATGTTAAACTTTGAATTCATTTAAAAGTGTTCAAGCTTCTGATGCTAGACTGAAGGTTTTAGGGACAACGATGTGTATATATGTTGATTCATGTCCTTTGCTAACTCCTCAAAATTACGCCTACCGTCGACATCACGGCGGGTGCGGGTCTCCTGCAATGACATTAACATGTGACATGTCTAACGATTGAAGGTTGGGCGGTGCCTCATAAAATTTACTTCTGCACGATCTATTCACACAAGTTGTCGTGCATGTGATGACAAGCATAACAAGATCGAGTTGATCGAAAGAAGTTATGTTTTGAGTGACTTTTCCCTTTGAAATTTAGACGGGGAAGAGCAGCTAATTCAATTAACGAATTTTATATACCGAAATTTTTTTAAAGATTTACCTCACAAGCAATACTTATGGAATCAACAAGTTTTGATAAAGGGGAAAATTTTCTAATCGGTATTAAACCTTTTGTACGAATGCCAATTCAATCCTAAACTTTTTCAACTTTACCAACTTAGTCATAAACTTTTGTACTAAATTCCAACCCAGTCCTTCCTTCCAACCAATATTTGCCGAAAAATCGCTGACGTGGCGGTATACCATGTAGGACGGCCGGCGATGACTGGACCGTCAGGTTAGCAATTTTTAACAAAAATTGACTTGAATGACTACATTGAAATTTCGTAAATATTTATGACTAAATTAACAAAATTAAAAAGTTCAAGGCTGAATTGACATGAATTGACATTCATACAAAAGATTTATGACTAATTAGATATTTTCGCCGTCAATAAAGCAAAACCCCCCCTCTCTCTCTCTCTCTCTCTCTCTCTCTCTCTCTCTCTCTCTCTCTCTCTCTCTCTCTCTCTCTCTCTCATATTTCAACCTCAAAATCTGACCAAACTTTCCATAAAGGTCCATGTTATCAAGGAATCTGGACTATATCCGGTTGTTTAATTGGGGCCAAAATCGGCATTTCAAATCACTCGCACATAATTCCTCAATTGCAATCTTTCCTGTGTTCATTACTCAAAACACTTACTAGCTCCGCAAGCGATCTTTTCCAATATTTTCCGAGATGCAAATCTTCCACACAAAGAAGAAACATCACACGCTTTTCCACGAAGGTCGAAGTGCCGTTCGCCTTTCCTTTCCGGCAAAAAATTTACACCGCCCCTTCGTGCAAACATCGAACGACGTTCGCCTAACTGGGGAACTAAAATCCCATCTTGCCTAAAATCGTTTCCTTCACAGCCTTCTCGTTCCATAAAAGTAAGGAAATATCCAAGTAGTTTCCACGAATTCTCGACACCAACTTCCCTTTCTTGCGTGCAATTGCGGGTATCCTGAGCGATTTCGCGGTGATTTGGCATTAAGTAGTCCATGTCTGTTACCCTTTTAGAGTAACCTACGTGACTCGAACATGATATTGACAAAATCTATATTTATGGGAATATATTAAAAATTTTCCTACGAATTATTACGGCGAATGAAATTCCCGAAAAATAAGAAGAAGCTACAGCGAATGGACTAACCTCGTGCCTCATCTTCTTCCCTTTACAATCGAGTTAGCAATACAGCGCAGTGTTTTTTTATCCGGCGAGAGGGTCCTGGAGCAGGAGCACGACGGGGATGTCGCCGACGAGTTTTACTACGTGCTGATACGTTGAAGAACAGAGGCAATTCCCTAGAGCGTAGCGTCTGTATATTTTCGCACGAGGTTAGTGTATTCTCCTCCTTTTTTTCGCATCGGCGTACTCGTTTTCGAGCGCCTTGGCCCTTTGATAACGATGTTTCTTTCGATTTTGCAGGGTTCATCATCGGGTGTATCTCTAGCAGGAAAAAGGGTGTGTTCTTTCGAGTGATCATCGCATAATTTTCATATCTCCGCGGTTCAATCAATTACAGTATTTATAAAAAATACAATGTATCTTCGTGCTGATGCTCTTTAGGATTGGTTTGCTAAGCAATCGAACAAGAAAAGATTATACTTTTAAAACGGACCATCTTTTCTTGAATGCTCGGAAAATGAAATATACCGAGAAAGTATCGGTGGAATTGGCCTTCGGTTGCAGGGTCAACCCGGGAACAGGTCGAGGCTTAACATGTATACGAAATGGCATGTTGTTGAGTACAATTCTTTCTAATCGAGTATAATATGCCAAACAATTTCGATTTCGATTTCAATTTCAATTTCAATTTCGATTTCGAAAGGAAAGGAATCAAAGGGGGAAGGAGAGGATTAGGACGAACGGAAGTCGACTAATCACCCTCGTCATCAGACAAAAAATCGAGTGGCGACTGGGACGAGAGGGGAGCCACTACCGTCCGAGTCTGACTTTTTTCAAAGAAACGAAAGGCTGCTGCTCCTTTCTGCCCATTTTCGCCAATGTTCCTTTTCCCGTTCTTGAATTCTGTGATCGCCACACTTGCGTCTCTGACAATCGCCTCCACCTATCAGCCCACGCGCGCGCGCACCCACTCCTCCCTCCCTGTAGTCTTTGTCTTCTTCTTCTTCTGCTTCTGCTTCTTCTTGCGAATCGACTCGGACAACAACCCACCCACCACTTTCTATAAATTCAACCTCCCCGCACACATACGCGATCCGTCCCACCTTTAGAGAGCCACCCGTTTACCCAGAGGCCCACTTTCTTCCCCCCTTTTCCTCTCCAGGCGATCGTTTTCCCGGGAATGTGAGGGACGTGGGGGTGGGGAGCTATCGTGGGTTCTTGCGTGGGGCGGGCGGGCGTGCGTGTCTTGTGTGCGCGCTGACTGAGTGTGTGGTCTGATCGGAGGCATTGCTGTATGTCAGCAGAGTACTACTGCGATAAGTACTGCGGTGGATACGGTGAGGTAGCGAACCCGTTGCAATGGCCACAACTCAGGAAAAGGCGGCGCCTTGCTGCGTCGGGAGCGCCAAGCCGCCCCCGCCGGCCGCGGGGACCGTGCTCGGGAAGGACGGCGAGGAGGTGCTGGTCCGCGACTGGGCCGTGCACGCGGGCGATCCGGCCGACGATCTGACCGGCAAGAGAGCTGCCCCCGTCGGTGGTGCTGCCTTGGTCCGTCCCGTGGAGCCTCCGGCTAACAAAGGTTCGCGCACGTAGTCTTCTTTTTTTCTCTGAGCTACGTGTAAGTGTAGGTGTAGGGTATATACAAATCTTATCGGGGTATATACGGTGGTGATAATGCTTTGGCTTTATATCTGATCAATGATTGGGTTGTGGAAAAGGAAGTAAGTTTGGTAAAGGTTGCTTTTTTTTTTTTTTTTTTGTGTATCTGTGTTCTTCTCTGTTTTATAGTACTTGTGACAATATGGCATCCCCATTGAGATGATCAATCGAGCATCACCCTTCCGCGTCCCAAATGTTGAACCTATTCCAGTCCACGTCTTCGATTTTTGTTCTCTCTTGTTTTACTTAGGAATGAGTTTCTTGATTCCTAGATCCTGAGGTTTTCTTGTTCACGTAGTTCGTTTTCCAGGTTTTTGTCTTTGGGACACAAGAAGTCATCCATCGTGGGTGACTAAGGGTGTTCATTTTCTGTTCTGTCTGATCTATCCTATTGCTCGATAGATAATTTATCTGGGATCATCCCATCCTGCTAAGCTCAAGAACCTGTGTGGAGGGTTCAGCTTTAGTAGTAATCAGATGTGTTTGCTTGGCTTGGATAGGAATCCCAGCCATGGTGAAGCCTCAGACCAGTCACCCGTTGGATCCTTTATCCGCTGCCGAGATCTCGGTGGCAGTGGCCACTGTCAGGGCTGCGGGCGCAACACCGGAGGTACTTAGTTTACACCTTCGGTCATTTGGCTAGACGTTTGTCTCGACGTATGTTACTTTGCCCGTGTTTTCTGGTGGAAGAAAGATGCTGATCCCTATCTCCATTTTCAGGTGCGAGACAGCATGCGGTTTGTCGAGGTGGTTTTGCTGGAACCAGATAAGCACGTTGTTGCCCTGGCAGATGCATACTTCTTCCCTCCTTTTCAGCCGTCATTGCTTCCCAGAACAAAAGGTGGACCCGTGATACCTAGCAAGCTTCCTCCAAGGCAAGCAAGACTCATTGTGTACAACAAGAGGTCGAACGAGACGAGCATTTGGATTGTTGAATTGTCTGAGGTTCATGCGGTGACTCGAGGTGGGCATCACAGGGGAAAAGTGATTTCATCCAAAGTTGTTCCAGATGTTCAGCCTCCCATGGTAAAACTTCAATCCGTTCCTGAGAATGTCTGATACTAAGAAAAATGCTGACTGTGCAATAATAGTTAAAGCAGATAAGATTTGAAGTTTGGATCAATTGGATCTATTTAGCATTGTTAATAGGGCACAACAGGTCTTTGGAATTCTATGTTAAAGTAATATGACTGACCATATCAGGTTGACAAACCCAAGGTAATAGTGTGTTTATCTCTTGTGCAACATGCAAATGCAAGTACGGAATTCTTCCTGAGATCATTTGCCACGACATCTGTTGAGGACTGCCTCACCGGCCCCTGAAGTAGGTGAAAACAAAAGCTAATACACTTAGACCTCTTCTGCCAATAAACAATGAAGTGCTTTGCTGTCACTTATCCAGTGCTCTTTTTTACTCCTTGTATGAGATATACGATATTGGTAATTGCTTTGATGAGTACTTGACCTAATCCTATTTCAAAACTGAAAATTCTAGGATGCTGAGGAATATGCTGAATGTGAAGCTGTTGTGAAGGAATTCCCTCTGTTCAGGGAGGCAATGAAGAAGAGGGGTATTGAGGATATGGATCTTGTGATGGTGGATCCTTGGTCAGTTCCTCACAGATATTTCACTTCCAAATGCCTCCTTGGAGAATGGTTTTGATGGTTCTTGCTCTATTTACATTCTCTGTGTAACTTTGTCCAGGTGTGCTGGATATCACAGTGAAGCTGATGCGCCGAACCGCAGACTTGCTAAACCACTAATTTTCTGTAGAACTGAGAGTGACTGTCCTATGGAAAATGGTTATGCACGTCCGGTGGAAGGAATTCATGTTCTTATTGATATTCAAAATATGGTTGTTATTGAGTTTGAAGACCGTAAACTCATTCCCCTGCCACCAGCTGATCCACTGAGAAATTACACTCCTGGTGAAACAAGAGGTGGTGTTGATCGTAGTGACGTGAAACCCTTACAAATCATTCAGCCTGAAGGCCCAAGCTTTCGTGTCGATGGTCACTTCGTTCAATGGCAAAAGGTCGTTGAGAATATATCATGAAAACTGATCATCAATTTGGCAATATATATTTCGAGATATAAATTTGAGTATCAATTTGGTAATACATATTTCGAAATATTGATAATGTTTCGATGTATTATTGTTTTTAGTGGAACTTCAGAATCGGATTCACGCCAAGAGAGGGCTTGATAATATATTCTGTCGCATATGTTGATGGTAACCGAGGTCGGAGACCTGTGGCCCACAGGTTAAGTTTTGTTGAGATGGTAGTGCCTTATGGAGATCCTAATGATCCTCATTACAGAAAGAATGCATTTGATGCTGGAGAAGATGGTCTTGGGAAAAATGCACATTCTCTTAAGAAGGTAAACTTTCGTTCCCCACCTTATATATATCAAGCCCATAATAAGTTCTTTTGCCGAATCTATCAAGTACAATATTGCAAGCAGAAGTGACTTTCTCATATTGAGTTTAATGTTGCAGGGTTGTGACTGTTTGGGCTACATAAAGTACTTTGACGCACATTTTACGAATTTTACTGGAGGTGTAGAAACAATTGAAAACTGTGTTTGTTTGCATGAAGAGGATCATGGGATCCTGTGGAAGCATCAAGACTGGAGAACAGGTTTAGCAGAAGTCCGGAGATCCAGAAGGCTAACTGTGTCTTTCATTTGTACTGTGGCCAACTACGAGTATGGATTTTTCTGGCACTTCTATCAGGCAAGTGCTCAATTTTCAACATCTGTAATGATGTTGATGTGTTTGTTTCCTTGGATCACCACTTGCTTTATTTTAAATTACATGGTGTCAAAGGGTGTATGATTCATCTTGTCAATGATTTTCATTTTGTTTGTTGTTGTAGGATGGGAAAATTGAAGCGGAGGTTAAACTTACTGGTATTCTCAGTCTTGGGGCATTGCAGCCTGGAGAAACTCGAAAATATGGCACCACCATTGCACCTGGGCTGTATGCCCCTGTTCATCAGCATTTCTTTGTGGCTCGGATGGACATGGCCGTTGATTGTAAGCCTGGTGAAACCTTCAATCAGGTAGTTTATAAGCTTGAAACTTTGTAGTGATCCTTTTCTTCTCCCTGGCAATAATTGACTTTATTTTTGTTGGTTGTTTGCCTTCCTTATGGAATTTCTGAACCGTATCACCATTCTTTGATGGTTCTGAGTATACTATTTTTTTTGGTCGAAAGTTCTGAGTGTACTGAATATGTTCATTTTCCCCCCTTACATTCTCTGCTGCGAATATCAAAGCAAAATCTTTTTTTTAATCATAAATGCATTTCTCTAGGTTGTCGAAGTCAATGTCAAAGTTGAGGAACCTGGAAAAGAGAATGTTCACAATAATGCTTTCTATGCTGAAGAGGAGCTGCTCAGGTCTGAAATGCAAGCAATGCGAGACTGTAATCCTTTATCTGCACGACACTGGATTGTGAGATATCTCTCTCTCTCTCTCGCATGCACATACGGCTGCCAACCTTTTTTTTTTGTTCAGCCACGTTAGTGATAATATTGGATGTTATCTTCTCAGAGATGTGTGCATCTCCCTATATTAATAGTACTGCCTGGTTCTGTTCCTCTTATTTGGTTCTGGCTTTACAATTTAACAATGTTCTTTTACATTATTCAGATCAGAAATACAAGAACAGTCAATAGGACGGGGCAGCTTGCAGGATTCAAGCTATTACCTGGCTCAAATTGCTTACCTTTGGCTGGTTCCGAGGCAAAATTCTTGAGAAGAGCCGCATTCTTGAAGCATAACCTTTGGGTCACACCTTATGCACGCGATGAAATGTATCCTGGAGGGGAGTTTCCTAATCAAAATCCACGTGTTGGAGAGGGATTGGCTACATGGGTTAAGCAAAATCGATCACTGGAAGAAACGGACATAGTTCTATGGTTAGTTCTTAGCTTCTTTGTAAGCGAACTATTATGACTAGCTACCCACCCATCGGTGGCCGCGTTGGTTTGCGCTCAGTTCCTTTCACGAGAGGTCCTGGGTTCAAACTCGCCCATCGGTGATTTAAGTGGGGGTCGTGGCGGTGGGATGCTGCGCTAGCCCCCCTCGAGGACTAGTCGGGCATCACCGCTGGTTTGAGCCCTAGTTCGCCGGCCGCGCGGACACCTCAGTTATCAAAAAAAAAAAAAAAACTATTATCACTAGCTTGTTTCAGCCCTTTGACATCCAAATCAGAATAATGATGGACTTTTCTCGCTGATTATTTTTTACAAGATGACAATAAACAATAGTGAACACAACGTCAATTTTGCCACTGAAAAATGACAGGTGAACAGAGCGTCTGAGCTCAACCCTTAGCTTGTGCATGGATAAATGGGATTGAGACATATTCTAAAACGTATTAGTTTGTCAATGTGGTGTTTTAAAAAGGATTAGAAATGGGATTTTTTTTATGTGCTAACTGTTACGGATGTCATTTGTAGGTATGTGTTTGGCGTGACGCATATTCCTAGACTGGAAGACTGGCCTATCATGCCGGTGGACCGCATTGGATTTATGCTCATGGTATGATGAACAATGTATTGTCATATCTCCACTCATTCTCGTCGCAAGCTCTTGCTTAGTAGTCTCTCGCTTCAAATATACTGATAAAATGATGATAATGGTATCTCTGCATGCTTGGATTCTTATGTTTATCATTGAGTACTAATCTTTGGTTTTGCTGAATCACCCATCAGATAGAAATTACAACCCATCCCACTAGACTGTTTACTTCAGAGGATCATGGTTTCATAGAATTAACATGCAATACTTTGCCACAAGTGTTTGTTCTTTCAAGGAGCAAAAGCTGTAAACTCACATTATTCCTTTTTTCTCCTCCGAGTTCAGCCACACGGTTTCTTCAATTGCTCACCGGCGATTGATGTGCCCCCAAACCTATGCGATTCAGAGCTCAAGGACAATGGGGTGGCTGCGAAATCCATCCAGAACGGACTACTCGCTAAGATGTGAAACAAATTCCTTTTTTTCTACTGAAGCCGCATCATGATTTGTTATGCAACCGGTCATTTCAACTTCGTGTTTAAGAATTGTGGCTTTTACTCTATGCAATCGCCATTTGTGTTCAGCCTTGTGACACTTTTTAAAGTGTGATTTATCAATATGATGACTTTGCCAAAATAAAAACTAAAGGGAGTTAATGCCGTGGGCTTTACAGAGCTTCACCCTTTGCAGAGGCAGGGAATTTGGGATGTCCTTAGTATTTTTGGCACGTTAATGTCGATATGTAACAACGCTAGAGGTTCTCGAGCTTGCTTCAGTGTTAAGTCGTGACAAGTGGAGGCTGAGAACGGCTTCCGGTGAAGCAGTTTTCTGCTCTGGCGGGTCATTGCCAGGTGCATAAGCACTCTTGAGCTCTCAGATTAGTAAACCTCTTATATGGTTCTTTGGTCCAAAGTCTTTGTATGTGCACATTTGGTTTAGGCATGAAAAAGTAATCCACAGGGAAATGAAAACAAGAGTCAAAATGTCTTATTATTGTAAGATCGAGGAAGGAGGTTCGATGGCTTCCGAACGTGGCGCAGAACAGCAACTTTATGCGTCCTCCTGGATGGGTCTGCATTATTCTCTGAATGAATAAGGTAGAAGACTTTTTTGGCCAAAAAAAAAGGTAGAAGACTTTCACTGGGATTGGATTTGCAGAGTTTGGTTTGGAAACTAGCAGGCTGTGATTCCGTCATTCTCAACGCGTCAAAGTTCAGCACTTGCTCACATGCCTGACCCATCTACTCCATGGACAGTGCTCGACAGTGATGGTCGATTCGAGGGCAGTGTCCGACAAAATCAAATCTGTTAATCATCGACAGCTTCAGCTGTTCTTCGGCACCGAGTTTCCCCGAGAGCTTGTTACTTGCAACTTGGATAATAGTTCTGGGTTCGCCATCCTCGATGACCCGCTACGTTTCATGACGGTTTTTCTAAGGTTCTAAGCGCCATCGGACGGGATAAATTCACAAAAGTCCGATCCCATCAGCAATGTGCTATAGCTAACGACATTCATCGTGAACGATGGCAACGAACGTTCTTGATCTAGTTCGACACAATCTTGAATTCCCTCAAACTCAACTGGGTTTGAATGTGGATGGACAATTGTAAGCTGGACCTTCGTTTAATCTCATGAAGCACGTGAAAGCTGATCTTGCATAGGCAAATCCAAGCCTACAGATTCTTCCGTTAATCTCATGATGCAGCAGGTAAAGGGAGAAAGAAAGCTTGCATGGATGGCTACAGCATGGTTCTGTGCACTCGGTTGATTGTTTCAACTTTCAACTTGACCAGTAGTTGGACCTCAGGTCATCAAAGTAATAATATTTATGTTTCTACGCAGAAAAGATTTGCTGTTCGATATGTTTTTTTATTATTGGCAAATTCAATTTTGTCAAAAAAAAAGGGGCTTTTGACTTTGAAGCCAAAGTAAAAGGCATCTTACTTTTCGCCGAACCTTAAAATATTGCATGAATTTTAAATATTTGGAAAATGTATTTATATGTAAACTCCCATATCAATCTTAAAATGTTGTGGAAGTTTAATGGGATTTTGAGTTCAAAGAAAAGTCAGAATGCACGGGCCACAAGTTTTTTGTTTCGTATAAAGCAAGAAGTAAAAATCAATCTAAACAAGATAATGAACTCACGTGTGGAAACGTTCTACTTTAGATCTTGATAATGATCATCATGGTACTTGTTAAAGATAATTAACAAAGCATGCTACAATTTTCAAAGCATCGTCGACACATAACACCCAAGAAAAGGAAACAACTTATCGGAAGTTATATATCTTCTCCTTATTTGATTGCTTAACGAATGTCCTTGGTACACGCATTAATCTTGGTTCTCTTCACTACTTAAAGCTTCAGTAAAAGTCAGTTCTTTGCTTATTGAAGCAGACACACACCATCATCGAATACTTAGAACATGCCTTCGCGTTGCTGCAGAACTTACTAAAATTTCGATATTATTTCATTTACTAAATAACATTGGTGATGCATATCCAATTCAATTAAATTTGAAGAACCAGCTAACAAGATTTGAAAATACGATATTCAACAGTAAATCTAGTACATTACGAATCTCAAGTTTTTGCTGCCTAAGGTGAAAAAAACAGTATAAGTCAAAATTAAGCTATGATTTTTAGGAGTGATTGGTTCCGGGATGGATCGGTTCCCACCTTATAACAGGGTACCGGTTCGGACAAGATCGGTCTCAATCTGTGAAATCAGCGATGTTATTTTTTCTTAGAAAAATTATTTTCTTACTCAAAAGTTTCTAAATATACTGAAAAATATTTTAGTGTAGAATGAAATTACTAATCACAGGGAAGATACACTCCCACAAATAATTTGTACTTTTTGCTGTTGTTGAATAATAAAATAAATAATAATAATTACTTAGGACCTATTTCGCCAGTCCAGTCCGGTGAATAGGATCGGTTATTCTCAATTCCAAAATTTCAAAATCAAGAACCGCATTGATTCCCGTGGGAACCATCCAGGACCAGCCAGTCCGGTTCGATACTCAATTTAGGCCGGGATCGATACTCGCCCCTAATTTCTTTTTTGGAAAATTTAGGGATAGTAATGGAGGCACTAGGGTTAATGGACGGCCAAAGTTCATACAAAAATAAATTTGGATTAATACCATGAAAAACCCCAAACCGATATACCCATGATAAATTTACTCCGAGTTAATTTTTTGACCATCAGAAATCCAAAACTAGTACACCTGTGACAGTTTTACCTTTCGTTAGTTTCCGTTAAATTTTACTATCAAATTTCTGAGTTGGATGACACGTGATAGTTTATGGATGTAACAGTTTGGGATCTTACCCTCCTCCGTTTGTCATAGGTGTACCAGTTTGTGATTTTCCGTAATATTAATTCAATTTAACGGAGAATAAATTTATCGCAAAAATATCAGTTTTTGGTGTTTGGTGGTAAAAAAAAATTAGTTTAGGGTAAAATTATCTTGTCACACGGGTACGTTTTACGTGCTATTAACCCGATAAATTTTGCACGGAAAGTGGGAACAACGCGCGCCTTCCGTGCGAGTGCCCCCCGAACCCCTCGCGAAACTCCCCGGGTCAACACAGAGCCGTAGCCGTTGCCGTTGCCGTAACGTAAGCCGCCACCGTCAAACACCTCAGCACCCCCCACAAAGACTCCGACTTGACTCGCCCCCCTTTGACTCGCCCCTCCATTTTCCACGCGCTCTCGCACTGACAATTACCTTAGACCAATTAAACAAAGACAACAACATTATAAAACACACGAAAAAAGAACAACATAAAAAAAACAAACACGAAAAATCATTCCTTCTGCACCACACTCGCCCACGGCGAGAGAGGGAGAGACGGACATCCGCAGCGGGAATCCGAATGTCCCCCTCTCCGGCGACGCACCGGCGGCCCCTCGTCTCTCCCGCCGGAACCCCCCGCCCTACATGGTCTTGCTGATCAGCGCCTCCGATCCGTCGCCAGCACCGGCCGCCGCCGCCGCCGCCGAACCCCGAACCCCCGCCGCGAGCTCCGAGGATGGCCGCGCCCCCCGCCGAGGAGAACCGCATCGAGGACGAGCTGTCGCACCCCATCATGCTGTCGGAGCGCGTCCGCTCCGCCGTGGACGAGGCCGAGTCGTTCAAGTCCGAGTGCTCCGAGCTGGGGAGGCAGGTGGACCGCCTCTCCCAGATGCTCCGCTCCCTCGTCCGCTTCACCACCTCCGCCCAGTCCCTCTACGACCGCCCCATCCGCCGCGTCGCCGCCGACGTCTCCAGGCACCTGGAGCGGGCCCTGGCCCTGGCCCGCAAGTGCAAGCACCAGAGCATCCTCCGCCGCGTCGTCACCATCACCAGCGCCGCCGATTTCAGGAAGATCGCGGGCCTCCTCGACGCTTCCGTCGGGGACCTCAAGTGGCTGCTCAGCGTCTTCGGCTCCGACGGTAAGGGCGGCGGCGGTATCGAGCTCTCGCTGCCTCCGATTGCGAGTAATGACCCGATTCTGTCCTGGGTTTGGTCCTTCATCGCCTCCACTCACATGGGGCCCTTGCCTGATCGAATTGAGGCCGCGAATGAGTTGGCTTCGCTCGCGCGGGACAATGACAGGAACAAGACGATTATCGTGGAGGAAGGCGGCGTGCCTCCGCTGCTCAAGCTCCTGAAGGAGACTTCGGCTCCCGATGCTCAGATAGCCGCCGCCACTGCGCTCTGCTACTTGGCCAATGATCAAGGGCGGGTGCAGGCCATCGTGACCGAACTCGGGGTTCAGACTATTGTGCAAATCCTCGGGGATGCGCCTATGCGCGTGCAGATTCAGGTGGCGAGCTTGGTGGTGAGCATGGCAGCACACTGCCCGCTTGCTCGGGAGGATTTCGCTAGACAGAATGCTATTCGGCCCCTGGTAACGCTGCTGTCGTTTGATATGTTTGTGGATGATCCCAAAGCTGGGACGCCTAAGCAGAGTATTCATTCCATTGTCCAGATTAATAAGGAAAAGGGAAGTAAATCTTTAGGCAAACTGAACAGCCATAACTCATATCCGGATGGTAGTAGGTCGGGTAGTCATAAGAAAGACCGGGAGAGTGAGAAGCCCGAGGTTAAGATGAAGCTGAAGATGAGCTGCGCCGAGGCATTGTGGAAGCTTGCTACAGAGAGTTTGTTGAATAGCAAGAAGATTACAGAGACAAAGGGGTTGCTTTGTCTGGCCAAGTTGTTAGATGAGCAAGGTGAATTGCAGTACAACTGCTTGATGACTATTATGGAGATAACGGCTGCCGCGGAGGCTAATGCCGACTTTAGACGCGCGGCTTTTAAGACCAACTCACCTGCTGCAAAATCTGTTGTGGATCAGCTCTTAAAGGTGATGAAGGAGATAGATTCTCCATCGTTGCGAGTTCCTGCGATTAAATCCATTGGCTCGTTGGCTCGGACATTTCCGGCTAGAGAGACTCGTGTTCTTGTGCCACTTGTAAGTCAACTTAACCACTCGAACCAAGAAGTAGCAACTGAAGCTGCTATTTCTCTGGGGAAGTTTGTATGTCCAGATAATTTTCTGTGTAAGGAGCATGCGAGGGCAATAATCGAGTCTGACGGTGTTCCACCAGTGATGAGACTGCTAAAGGGCGGTGAAAGGATGCAATTGCATGGGTTGTATC